GACTTTCTTTGATAGGGCAGGAAAGACGTTGGTTTTGTATGCTCATTTTTGGCTTAGCCTTAAAAGGTTTTACTTTTAATTAAATGAGTAAGATTTAAATGTTTTATGATTAAATCGGAAATAAGTTACTTAATTTGACAAGTTATTTTCAGCTCGAGCGAATATTTTCTTTACATCAAATTTTGTTTATACATCAACTGCAAATTAGATTTCTTATAAGCCAAGGGCACCAAGGGGGGTCTTCCCTTGCCCTGCCTCAAAATAGAAAATTAGCATAGCCAACATGGCAATTCTAGCATGCTTGATTTCCGCAAGTTTCAATCTCTCGAGCTTCTCTGTATCCGGAATGTAAACCCCGTCCTTCAATGTTCCGGCCAGGCCCAATGGATCAAAGAATTTGCCACCAGGGTAGCCCTGTTCACTGGTAGCATTGGCGAAATTTTCTGCTGTTCTTGACCATGGAGTAGCCCATTCGACAGATTGGGAATCGGGGTTGAAGAAATCGACCCATCTTTTGCTCTCAACCCATCCCATAAGGAGAAGCTGAGTCCCGAGCAGACTGCCAAAAGAGAAAGGTGCCACTGCACCAGGGGCTGCACCGGCTTCAAACCAAGGGATACCACTCCAGGCCTGGCCAACGAAGATACCCACAACTGCAGCCATTGCCCATCGGCCATGGATGAGCTCGGCTTCTCTGTACCATTTCAAGAATGCTGGATCCTTTCCAAGGCCTAGTGGGTCGAAACCATAGTCACCAGGGAGCCTGAAATTCAATCCAACGTATCATTATTTAACCACTTCGTCTAAAACTTAAGATGAAATACGAAGTTGAAAATTTCATGGGAAAAAGAGAGACTTACGAGCCATCAAGCCACTCAGGGTCGATGAAGTTGCCGCCACCTTTGACAGCAGGGATCCATGACTTCTTGGGGGCGGCAGCCACCACAAAGAACCTCTTGGGAGCGAGAGCACCGCCCACTCTGGCAGTAACCAGGACAGATAACAAGGCCTGGCTCTTGTTGCCACCAGTCAAGAATGTAGATCCCAATCCACTTACCAATGCAGCAGAGGTTGAAGCCATTTCTTTTCCTCTTTCAATATATCTGAAGATTGATAGGGTATTCTACTAGATGATACCTTTGAGTTTCTTCTTAAATGCAGAATTAGCCTGGTCAATTGTATGGCTTCCTTTTGGTGGAAATCTAAAGGAGAGCTCTGTGAGGAGCCACGTAGGACGTGTC